AGAAAAAAAAACAAAATTAACAAAATCGTTATTTGAAATCAATAATAGGAAAATAACGTTATGAAAAACGTTAATCAAAAACAACATGTTAAAATAACGTTTAAAACGTTAAACAAAAACGATATTCTTTAAATCAATAAATAAAAGCAAAAACGAAATAATTAAAAACGTTTTCCATCCCTGGTTTAAACCTATAAATCCGCCATTAGTAATTTATGTTTAGAATACTTCTAAAATGTTAAAGATAAGACACAATTTTTTTTTGTACTTAATTATGGTCGAATTGTTTAGTATGTCGAACTTTGTAAATTGTCTTGTTGAAATAAATAGCGGCTCTAGTACAGTGGTATCTAAAGGTGTAATGAGCATAATATAATACTTATCCCCTCAGTAGTTTCACTAAATTTCAGTTTATGTTTCATTATTAATCCAATCCACGATACCGGAGAGTATTAGGAATATTAGGAAAAGTGTAAGCAATCATTACTTATTAGGTTAGGTTAAATTTGTTTTGATAAAGGTGAAAAACTTGTTTGGAATCTTCTATTAAAATGTCTAATGTTATCTATAAAAAAAAAACTTTTACGAATTTTAACTTAAAAATATTTTACGAAATTATAAAAATTTATAATGGATATAAATAGCACAAAAAGTCAAAATATATTGAACATTTTATCATGTACCGTCAAACGGGCGAACAGTTTTGAAATTCTATTGTAAATAACTTTAAGATTAATTAATCTAGACATATTTTCAATGCAACATTTGTATTTAGTTAAGGTTTGATTTATTGATTTCTGTTGCATTTGAACCATACAAATTATTCCTTTTAAGGAATTTTTATTTTACTGCTTGCCCCATGTTGTACTGCATTTCGACAACATGGGGCATTCGTGTTTGTGTTATGAAAAATCTATTTTGTCTATTACTTAAAAGAACTTTGGGCAGTATGTAAAATTTTTAAAAAATACAATTTTCTGATATTAACAAATATATTTTGTACCCGGTGAGTATATATATTAACATAAAATAAACAAAAACATTCTTTTTGACCAATTAAATATGTATTAAAATAAAAAAAAAAAATAATAATATTCTTGTCAGGTATTAAATAATAGGTAGGTAACTTTCTTGTTTACCAATTAAACAAGTAGGTATTAAAATATGTAAATAACATTAAAAACCAGAGTTGAATAACAGTGGCCCAGTTGGACTTAATAAGTAAAACGTAATTTACAGATAATATGTGTGCAGGATTATTATAATTTATAAAATAGAATAGTAAATTTAACACACAACCGAACGTATTTTTTATTATCAATTTTTATGTAAAACATCTAATTCATTAAGTATTAGTGTAAGTTTTCGGACATTTTCAAAATAATAAACATAATCAAAAAATTAATTAATAAAATTTAATATTTACATTTAAAATTTGATTCAGCAATACTACCAAAGTGATTTTAAATATTGTTAAGATAACAAATGAATATTTATATCACATTAGTTAATTGTTAAGTGGCCGTTATGCAGGTAAAACTAAAAGATAATATTTTTAGCCCAAGTTAAACACATGCCCCAAGTTCACCAGTTTGACAGCCACTTGATGGAAAATTCTAATATAAATACTTCATGAAAATTTCAAGTGTCTAAGTTTCTTAGTTTTTGATTTACAACAAAATATTAAATATTGATTATTTGGAATTTGTTAAGTTACCACTGAATATAAAATATTATAAATATTTTTAATTCAAAGGATCACTAAAAATTAATATTACTTTCAGTAAACATTTTATTTTGTTAAGGGTAGAAAAACTTCTATTAATTTCTATGAAATAATTTTCAAATGATCAGATTTTTTGAAATTAATATTAAATGCATTTAAAAATGAATCATGCCTGTTTCTTTAAAATTTTTGAACTACTATTAAAGCATCTTGTGAGGACCATTGTGTTAAATTAAAAAACTAACTAAAAAATTTTTATCGAAAATTATTTTAAAAAATTTACAGTATTCAAAAAATGACTCAAGGCTCTAAATAGCTTAAAAGATTATGGAAAATCGGAACATTTTTACTACTCCCAAAGTTAATGCTACAGAAAAACCACACCATTGAACCAATTTTGAATAACACTGAAAGTTCTACTAATCGGTGAATATTTTTTTTACGGACTATCATCAATAACTCAAAATATCTTCAAGATTAATTGATAGATTTAGACAAATCATAAATAAATTAGTTTTAGTATTGAATTGCTGTCTAAACTATTTTTCTCCCAAATATCTTGGTCAATTTGTACTCAGTTTTCAGTAAAGTTTAAATAAAAATATAATTAAAACAATGACTTATAAAAATTAAAAAATTAATATATTAGCATTTTATTTTTAAATTACTGATAAAATTAACATTTAAGCTTAGGGCAAAACTAAATATTGTTCTGTACATTACTGTATAAAAGCAATTTAAAATGAATTAAAAAGTTTATGAATGGAACATAAAAATATATTTACATTCAATTTAAGTAAAAAGCAATGACAGTCAACAGAATTATTAAACAATATTTTATGAAAAAAACGTTTAAGTATTGATTGCATTGCACGAGTTCCCTGTGAATAATAAAATGTTTAACCAATTTCTGTTTATATTTACAAAATATATAAGTATATATGTGTATATAAATCAAATAAAAATACATATTGATAAAATAATGATAATGTAATAATAATAATAATAATAATAATAATAATAATAATAATAATAATAAAAATTATAATAATAATAATAATAATAATAAATGAACCATCAAACTCTAACCAAAGCTGTTAACCATAAAACATAACAAATTATAATGTTTGTACTTAACTATTGTAACAATAATATCACAGAAACGCTTTCCTTAAACTTATAAAAAAAAAAAAAAAACAAATTATAATTATATTAATAAAATAAGCCTTACAGACAAATTAATGTATAAAATAAGGTACATGTCTTTTATGTATTTATAAAAAATGAATAATTGTTACTTCTAGACTCTAGTTCAACAATATAAAATTACAATATTACTAGATAATAAATATTGTCACAATTTTGGTAGTAATTTTGCATTGTAGTAAATCACAATTTGTTATGTAAGTACCAGAACCTATTTATAAGATTAAGACTTAGATACAAATGTTTAAATGAAAATTCAAAATAATATTTTGTGAACCGGAATACTGAAACAATAGATATGTTTTAATAAACAACTTTCAATAATAAGTGATTATTGTCAAAAAAGTATTGTTATACAGGCCGTGCTCATGATTGAAAATAAAGACACATTTAATAGTAAAAAATATATCTATAAAAAACAAAAATAATATAATAACTGCCTTAAAAATGAATAAGCTCTATGATTTACCACAACTTGTAAGTAATAACAAATAAAACATAGAAAAATATTAGAGAATAAAATTCTTAACCAACTATTATTATTATATTATTATTATTAAACACGCATAAACATTCTATTTGTATAGAGTATAGACATATAAAAATAGTTTTGGTAACAACGGTAACGGTTGTACTCTTATGAACAACATAAAGGTTAGGTAAACATTAATATTATAAATAATAATGATTTATATATTGTTTTGTAAGCGTTAATGAACACATGGAATTAATTAAAAAATTTGACACAGCTCAAAATTACAGGTCATTTCTTTCACAGCAATACCAAATTAGATTTTAAATGTCAAATAATCTGTAGAACAAATTTCTATAACAGATTTATAATACATGGTATAAAATTAGATTGCTACTTTTGTATCAAATTTATAAAAACTTGGTATAAAATAATTAGACAAAATAGTAAAAAAAAAAATAACATTTGTTGCTCTTATATCAATTACAAGATTTAGATCTCTTTACACGGCAAGAAAATATATGGCTAAATCAATATTAACAAACGGATTATACAAATTAAATTTAAAATTATTATCTTATGGTTCTGTCTTAATCAACATATAGCAGGTACACTATTAATACATAAAAAAAATACATGTTTATATATTCTGTATGTTTACAAACACTTGCAGTCACGGTTGTAACAAGTTTATTTTAGCGTTGTGCAATAACATACATTATACCACTACTATTTATATGTTATTTACAACAATTAGATGTGTAGCACTAGGAACTTATGAGTACTGGTTTTGGTCCCCGTTATAACATACACACAAAATATAAAATCAAATTTACGATCTGAAAACAAAACATAGTATTTCCTTTTTAATATTATTATCCCAAAAAAAAAAAATAATAATAATAATAATAACATGCCCATAAAAGTTAAAAAAAAACTAAAATGGTTTATTGGCCGGGTCATTCTTCTTCAGAAAATGGTTTGGTATAATATTGACAACGGCAACCTTAATCTTATATCCGTAAATTATAATAAACATTATTTACAAAAGATTAAATAAAACATAAAATTATTTAACAAACCACTTATTATTTATTTGTATATGTTATATATACATAAATATAATATGTAATAAAATTATTTTAACAATTCTCTGTAAAAAAATAACACACTGAAAGTATTGAAACATAACGCTAACATAGTATGCATTGTTTGAAGACTAGATTATATATTGTAATATATATTTTTTGACTTTACACTACGTATTGGCTGTAGACAGCATATTAATAAATGACAAGTGGTATCATTCAATCTACAAAAATATCTGACACGAAAGAATATAATATGTATAATATATATAAATGTAAAATATATATATATATATTATGTTACTGTAGTAAGTCAGTAAAGGTATAAAGCGCAATTGTAGTTTTAAATATTTAGTCAAAAATAATTTATTTTTAATAAGGTTTGTATACCTAAAATAAATATATATAATCTGAAAAGGTAAATGTATATGAACTACTATGGATGACTGACTAGATAAATATGTATATACGTAAATAATATATACATAATGTTTTTTTAATGGAACTATTATTGTTGTTGATGAAAAACTTGATTGAACCCTGGTAACGGTGTAGTACCTGTTTCAGAAGTTTGTCGTAAAAGAGCGGACAGTATTTCTGATGAAGATGTAAGGTATTCACCAACTTGAAGTTGTGTCGGCTCATGTACAACTACATGTTGAGTAGGCAAAATAGTTGGTTCGTGACTTGTCAGTATTGAAAGATTAGGCTCGATGTTAGTTAGTGTTGAAGATGATGGTATCAAAGTAATCAATTGAGATAATCCAGGCATTTCAGGGTTGGTTGACTCTTCGTAATTGTCTGCTAGATGGTTGGTCAAGGTAGTATCAAATACTTTCAGTTCATCGACTGGATAAGACGCTTGAGGTTCATAGCTTATAACTGGTAAATTTACTTCACTGGATGATCCAACAGTTTGAATAACTGTCTCACTATTATTTTCACTATAATTAAAACTAGTTATATTAGATGAATGGAACATTTCTATTTCTGACATTGTAGAAGGATTTTCTTGTTTTATGAAATCTCCAGTAGAAACTGTTGGATTTTCTTGTTTTATGAAATCTCCACTAGTAACTGTTTCTGCTACTTTCCTTTCTAACTTATATGGCTGACCACATGTTTCAAGATAAACTGCTTCAACCGATTTACTTTTGTACAGTTCAGTTGGTTTTTTTGGTTTGGATTTTTTACTCGCATTGATGTTGTGACTCTTTTTTATGTGCCGAGTAAGATGATCTTTACGACCAAATCGTTGTGGGCAAAATTGACATAGGAAATCTCGCAGACCAGTATGCACAACCATATGTCGACGAACATCCTTACCAGTGTAAAAACTACGGTCACAAAAGTTGCATCGATATTTCTTATCAGCTGGAGTCTTTATTACCCTCGATCCTGAATGTATTTTCAAATGGTACATGAGTTCATCTTTGGATTCAAATACTTTACTACAAATCTTACAGTCAAGGAATCCTTCTTCTACGGAATGTACAGCTATGTGTTTACGGTAACTAAGCACTGAACTGTACTCTTTTGAGCAACCAGGGCGATCACATTGTAAAGTCCGTTTAATGGGATTATGTACTTTGGCATGATTTTTTAAATGATCTTTCCTGTGAAATGTTCGATCACAAATTGTACAATGATATTGACGTTGGTCAGAATGTATTAATACATGACGAACTAGTTTAAATTTTGAAGAAAATGCTTTTGAACAATGTTTGCACACAAATGGTTTTTCACCAGTATGTGAATAAGAATGTTGTGTCAATTTACATGGACTAGTAAACGACTTAAAACACTCTTGACATATGTGTCGACCTCTCAACATCTGATTGGCTCCAGGTTGTTGTTGTTGCAACTGTTGTGTAGAAGTACTTGAACTCTCACCACTTTCCGTACTTTCAGCCACTGTTAGTTTTTGGGTATCAGCTATACTCACCGTGCTTTCGGGTTGTTCATAACATTCATCAAACAGCTGACGTTTACATGTGGCTGGTAATTGTAAAGTTTTTCTGTTCCTTTTTTTTGATTGGTTAGAAAAAGCAGGATCGCTCGTTGTAGTTGGGGTGGAAGACAAACACACACAAACATTTTGCTGCCCAGTCTTACCTTGAATAGGTTGATTACAATTTGGACATAATTGAAAAACATGTGATCGCAATTGGCGACCTGGTGATATCTGGACATTGGGTTCATTTTTTGGCCATTGACAGTCTGTAAAAAAAAATAGACTATCAAGTTACATGGTCCTATAAATGAATCAAATAATTCTTAATACACTATAGACAAATAATTAGGTATTATAGAGTTTCAACTTTACAATCTGTAAAATAAAAAAAAAGTCAGTATATTGACTCATGTTTTACTATTTTATAATTGTTTACTAAGAAAGTATAATAGTTATTCACATAGACAATTATTATAAAATAAAATGTGTAACACAAAAACCTTAAGCCATCATAATTTAAATAACACAAACAATTTTTATCATAGTTATATATTAATTATTTTTAGTTGTAATCTCTTTTTTATGACTGTTGTTGAGAACACTTTTTTATATTGATTTATATTTTTAGATCATTTTTAAGGATGAAAAAATTCTATAATATTTAAACAGAATACAAATTCAGATCATTAATATTATAAACAAGTATTTAGTTCTAGTAAATAATAATTCAGAATAATAGATTTGTATACATTTAATTTTTATATTATTTTATAATAAATTCACTTTATTTTCCTATTCAAATAATAAGTTACTCAAACAAAACTGTATTCAAAATTAAATCAATTATTTTAATTCTTTTTAACAGAAATTAAATAAGATACCTTTTACATTTAGATAAATGGGTACTTTCCTGTTATACGAGACTACCTCGACTACCACCCAAGACTACCTCCGTTATCGAGACTACCTATCTTAGCTGATATTATAGCTGAACGCATAGGCGCAAATAGGAGGGGGGCTAGGGGGCTTTAGCCCCCCTTGAAGTTTCTATAGCCCCCCCAAAAACTAATGATTTCACTACTATAATTTAAAAGCATCATAAGAGTTTCAAGTATAGACCTGAGCTTGAGCCCCCCCAAATTTCAAACACTATTTACGCCAATGGCTGAACGATATTCATAAGCTAAGATTATATTTATTATATTATATATATATCGTTAAGTATATTATTAGTTTTTGTAATTGGTTTTTGCCACAGCAAATTTGGTACATTACGAATAATTATTATGTATATAATTGTTATCTTTATTTAAATTTTTTTTAATATAATTTGAATGTGGCCATCCCTACAATACATAAATTATTATTTTATTTTTGGATTTACCATTTTGTATTGTTATTATTATTTTATTGTTTTCAATACGCCGCAGCAAATTTGGCGCTTTGGAGTGTACCATGTAAAATATATTACAAATAATTACTATGTATTTAAATTTTATCTTTATTCCATTCTGGCCATCCCTACAATACATATTATTAAAAAAATATATCGAAGAAAGCAATAAAAATAAGATAGTCTCGTATAACAGGAAAGTACTATTTTGGTAGTCGTATATAACAGGGTTGTGATGTTTCACAAAATAATAATGGTAGTCTTGGGTGTTGATTAGAATAACAGCCATAGTCAACAGGAAAGTACTAAGCCTATTTAGACACCTGAGAGTGCCTATCTAAATGTAAAGAGTACACAGCAAACAAAACCTGCTCTGTACTGATACTTAATTAGATCTCAGATAAAGCATAATTATTAATTTACATCCAACAATCAAAAATCCACAAATTTAAAAATGAACAGATAATATAGTGCTAAACAATCTTAGGTTTGTGCCTAATATAGGATCAATTAAATACAAGAGTAAAAAGTTATTACATGGAATTAATTTTAGGATATTAAATTTGTGTTTATTCAATGCCTTATTTTAAATAGTCTGTTTAATCCATATTCAAACTATCATGTACAATTGTACAAGTAGACGTCACTTAAAGTTATTGGATTTACCTTCGACACAATAGAACCATTAAAAAATGGTCAAAACATTGGACGTATAAAATAAAATAAAAATATCATAATAATAAGTAGGTCATAAATATCTCTAGAACAATCTTCATTAAAAAAATTAAACATTATTTAAAAGATATTTTAACCAATAAATACCTAATAATATGTTATCTTATGGTAATAACGATTTAGGTGCGTTGATTGAATTCAACTATGACAGTGTCTCTGGCTAGGTAAAGCATAAGATGATTAAAAGATTAAGTGCCAATTTCACTAACACAGTTTATCACGATTAAAGTTAACCGTAGTTTAATCGGCTGAATTTGCTCGGTTAAATATCTGTAATCAGCCGATTAAGCGTAATCGAAGTTTAACCGTGATTAACTGTGTTGGTAAAATCGGCCCTTAAAATTTTTAATCTACAATAATACCTAACTTAAATAAGTAATGGGTGTTGATGGACCTATGTTAACTAGCATTACAGGCTTTGCTTACTGTGACAAAACCAAAATATTTTTAAAGTAACAATCGTAAGCAAGCCGGTACTACACACCTTTGGATCCCATACCGAAGGCATATTCCTTGTGTTTTGGCAGTGCGTTTCCCTGTCGGTTTGTGGACCGATGGACGTTGTGTAGATGGATGTGGTATCCAAACGGTTCCGTGCAAGCGGAACGACTAGCTATCAAACGATATGGGTGGTGAACACGTACCCGGACAACCACGGGGAGGTTAGGTTAGATTATATGAACGACGTGCGGCCGGATATAACCGTCGGACGGGTGTGGCGGCGGAGGAGTTCGCGACCACCACACGGGCGCCGTAGTCTGTTGCTGCTGTCGCTGATGCTGTTGCTGTTGTTGTCGCTGTTGTTGGCGCTGCTGTTGCTGTTGCAATCGCCGCGGCGCAACCGGTAACACACGCGTTATCGTGCGGCGATTTTCTTTCAGGCACCTCAGTTTGCACCTCGCGATGGCCGTCGGCGGCGACAGTCGTGGCTCTGGTCCGCGGCAAACGATTCTCCGACTGGCACCGTGTGATTCGCCGACGACGGAACCGTGCGAGAGAAACGCAGACGATTTCGCATTGTTATCAAATGCGCCCTTGAGTAACAGGCAGCGGCGGCGGCGGCGACGGCGGCGGCGGTGGACGGTGGTGCATTGTTTTTGTTTTGTTCCGTCGTTATTTTTTTTCCTCTCTTCTACTCATACTGCGAATCGGCAGATAACGTTCGGATGGAGACCGCGCGCGCGTAATGCGCGTTCCGACCGCCGGAGCAGCAGCTGATGTCTGATCGCCACTTGTCGGCTGTCGCCGCTTATCGACTATTGTTCGTTATCGACATAGTCGTGGTTATTATTTTTCACTGTTCTCAGAATTCTGTAATTTCAAGATTGTTTTTTTTTCGTTTCCCTCCAGTGGCGGTTCTAGGCTTTGATTTTCCTTTTTGTAGGTGGGGGGAGGAGGGCATATAAACATCACGGATTTTTTTTTATAGATATTTGATGATACATTATACCTATCTATAATATTGAAATATATTGAAATGCTTCAAAATCAGTACCATGTAGTACTCACATTAGGCATTCGCCATTAATGTCATCAACTAGGTACTTAATTGTGGCAATTATAAAAATGTTTAATCAATCAGTCTAAAATTTATTTTTTATTAAACTTATAAGTGTTTTAATTTTAAAAGTAACAAGTGTACAGATTATACAAAGTAGTACTTATGTCAAAAGATAAAAAATATCAAAATATAAAGACCTAAAAAATTACAATATAAAATCCAATTATTCATGATCGACCTAATCGATCTATTAGGTACTTTATCTATAGAAATGACCCGATAGATATGCCATATACATAAGCATATACCTTTTACTTATATAGACCGGCCCATTCTATACCAAATACATACATTGATAGTCGTTTGATGCAACCCGTTTAGTATAAATTTATACCTAGAACGAAATATGAATATATAATATTAATATATATATATATATATAATTTCTTACCGTATCAGAATTCAGAGTAACTCTGCAACCCACTCGGTGGAAACGTGAAGTGGGCCGGTCTATTAGTAAATGGTTTATGTGCATAAGAGCGAGACCAAAACGAGACATAAAATGATAAGTGATCAGTATTCAGTAGGTATCCATCATCCTCACTTACGACCTTGTGTGTACTCACTTAGATTTCAAGCTGTCGTAATGTTGGAAAGGATCTTTCCGTGGTTCCTGACAGCGGCAAGCGTTATTGAAACATTAAATTACTCTGAACACGACAGTCGTCAAACATAATATTAACAATTAGATAGAAATCAACCAGATTACAATTATTATAAAATAGAGAACCCAATAGTTTCTATCGGAATATATATGTATGTAGATACTACGCGTACCTACTGACGTACTACAAAAAAATTTAAGATACGACTAACGAGAATTTATTTACAGTAGTCATGAATTAAACAATATCGAGTATACTAATATAACATTATAGTATAGGTATAGTATAATATTATATATACCGTAATAGTAAATGTGTATAGTAGGTAGTAGGTACCTATATTCAACACAAATCTCCAAACAAAAAAATCGAATCGCGCCTAAAAATCTGAACATATAAAATATGGACGGAACGATATCCTTTTTGGTGTGAAGTGAGCATTTGCCCTCTGCCGATTTTTTAAAAGCATCCTGATGACCCAATGCTTGTAAAACGAAAAAAACATGTATACTTTTATAATTTTGAGAAAATAGGTAGGTAATATAAAAATATTGTGTATTGAAAAATAATTGCCCCAACGATGACGAAAGAGGATGTCAGGGCACTATTTGTTTTCTCTCTCTGATCCACCAGAAACATACCAAATTTACGTTCGGCAGAACCAACTATGCTTTTACATTTAGACCATTCCTACAATGTCCTGTTAAGTTAACCTACACTTTACCGGACATTGTAAGAACGGCCCTTGTAATTAGAATGAATTTCCGTATTATAGCATTATCAAACTCTAAATTAAGAACATTGCCTGTGTTTGTACGTTGGCTATTTTAAGACATTATAACTGTATGTAAGCAGTGGCGTCCGCAGGGGGGGGGGGGCTAACGGGCTGAAGCCCCCCCCCCATTGCCCATATTATTATTACTTTAAAAAAAAAAATATTAATAAAGTTTAAACTGTCAACTATAGTAAGTAAGACGTAACTTTCATAATATATGTCTTACCAGAATGAATTATATATAGGATATAGGATTTTCTTTAGGAGGGGGATATCAAAATTTGTTTTGTGCTATTGCTATTGCAACTTTTTGTTAGTTACTCCATGTAAGGTATATAATAATAATAAATGATGTGTAATGTCAATCACATGCCCACAGGATAACAAAATTATAAATAACAACAGTACTGCAGCAGTTTTTACTTTATACATGGAAAAACATGGGTAAGGGAGGGGGTCTATCCCCCATATCCCCCCATAAATACGTCACTGTAACCAAGCTATTGTTACCAAACAATTTAAATAAGTTTAAATTTTTTTTTCTCCAATTAGGTACTTTTAAAAGCACTGAGCAGATTCAATTTCGACCTCCTAAAAGTACCAACTAGATCCAATTTGCTTCCAAAAACATACACTGGGCATCGAAGCTTATGATAAGAGCATTTTTTCTACCAGAAAAGTTGAAAAGTTACAAACATTTTAAAATACCTCAAATAAACGTCTGAAATTATTAGACTGGACAAAATAAAAATAAATTTTTAACTAATTTTCAAGCCCCCCCATTGAAAAATCCTGGGGACGCCACTGTATGTAAGTTATGAGCGTGTAAATTATTACAGTTTAAAAATTTAAATATCTTAAAAATCCTAACGTAACATTCTTAAGAGGACGCTACACCCGCATGTGTTGTCTCCGTCTTGAAAATGTACAACATAGCAAAAAGCCAAAAACTGCTTTGCGAGGGAAACAACCGAGACGGCTACAATCATAACTAAGAAACGAGATTTTCACTACATAAAAAAACATTTGAAAAACACAAACAATAATGGTTTTTGAAACAGTAAGAACTTTTTGGATATTAGTGATATCAAAAAAATAAAATTAACGTTGCATAGCCAAAGTTCTCCTTTTTAAGTGGTGAAAATGTCGTTTCTTAGTTAAGACTGTAACCTTCTCGGTTCTTTCCCGCTCAAAACAGTTTTTGCTATGTTCAATGTTGTATATTTGTAAGACGGAGACAACATACCTAAGCGGGCGTAGCGTCCTCTTAACTTACATAATTAAACAATATTTAAAAAAGCACATGTCATTATTTTAAAACCAATAGGTAGCTTATTTTCTTTACTCAAAATCTAAAAAAGTCATGAGGATCTATTTCCCATATTTCCCGTGGGTAGGCCCCACGTAAATTTTTTTTTACACCGGGGCGCAAAATGTCTAATGCGGCACTACTATACTAATTTCTATTAATTATTACTCCTATATAACCAATAGCAACCATGGTTGATTTTGCTAAACGTAAATTTTATATATTGCAAATGAGTCATAGAGAGAAATTCTCTCAGAGAATGGTGCACTGACATTCTCAATAAATTAATAGTTGGAATTTAGAATATACCTATACACTATACACATAGGAACACTATTATTAGGTACAATAGATATTTTTAAGTACGAGCTATTATTGTTATTTGTTTATTCTTATGTCTTATCTATCAAACAGAAAGACGTGGACGCACGTACTCAATAATATATTCATCCTAGTCACTATCTATCATTCCTGTACAATATTACAAACAGTTGTTATTTGTATGTCAATCAATCTACATAGGTACTGTACAACAACAATATAATATCATAATCCCATATACGAATGTCGAATACGATATACTTACGACCTACCTACCTACTTAATTTTATTTCTAAAAAAGCTATTATCCATTAAGTACAATAATTTACTACTCTAGTACCAAATATAAAAATCCTAAACATAAAACAACCACTTATAAGCAGTGCTTCAAAACGTTTTTATAACGTTATGAGTATAAAGTTAAACAATTCAAAAAACAATTGAAACGGTTAAAGGATAACATATCGGTAAACGATAAACGATTGGAAACGGATAACGGATAACGAAACAGAAACAATTAACAATTGAAACACATAATTGCCTGAAAAAAAAATATATATATTTATAAAATTATAACTATTAGTAAAATATATATTATGGTTATTTTTGCAATATTACCTATATTTCTCAATCATTCTGTTTTGTGTAGGAAACAAGCTATATCCATCAGGTAACGCTAAACGCTTCATAACGTTTAAGTTTGTAAAACGTGTAAATGCTTAAGTTGAATAACGTTTACATTTTTATAACATTTAAACGCATAAATCGAATAACGTATTTAAATTCTTTATACCGTTAAACAGTGATTCGATCGTAACTTTAATATCCATATAACGGTAAACGGTATTATTATTTTTGATTTAAGCCCTGCTTATAAGTCGTACTCATGACTTTCTAAAGTTCATAATATTACTGAGTACCTATTT